CCAACTTACCCTACGAAAAGTTAATTATAAAACAAATATTTTAAATTTACAAAATATTTTTAGATGACATTTAAATTTTTCCGCCATCTTGACAGTTTTGAGAGTTCGTATACAACTTCACGCAGAACGAAACGTCAAATGTCAAAAGCGTCGAATTGTTTATCGACTCATAATATTACCAGTTAATGTTTTTCTTTATAATAAATAGTGAAAATATTTAATTTATATATTAATAAACTCGTATTTTAACCCAGACAGATATGTCTGAAGAAATAATAACATTTTCATGTGATGAAGTTAAAATTGAACCTTTAGAAGACGAAGACGAAGTGTCAGACAATGATTTTGACAGTTCTTCTGTAAAAAATGAAATTGATGATGATAATAATGAAGAGTCCCCAAGTCCAGAAGATGATGATGCTGGTCAAGAACAGGAATCCCAAATCCTACAGTTACAACAATCAGTCGATGCTCACTTTCTAGAAAAGCCTTACAAATGTGACATCTGCCACAAATCATTCACCCAAATAGGTAACCTGAATCAACACAAACTTCTGCATACCGGAATCAAAGCCTTCCAATGTCCACAATGCCCAAAAGCCTTTGTGCGCCAGAACAAGTTAACGGCACACCTCAGAACCCACACCAAGGAGAGACCTTACACCTGCCACATTTGCAACAAAACCTTCACCCAGCAACCTTCTTTAAGCAGACACATCCTCACTCATTCAGGGGACCGTCCTTACGAATGTGCAATCTGCAAGAAGACCTTTGTCCACAAAACAGGCTTGAAAGTGCACATGGTCACCCACACCGGGGAACGTCTCGTCAAATGCAAGATATGCAACATGGCTTTTGCCCAGTCCAGCAACATGGCTCGACACATGCGATCCCACACAGGGGAACGCCCTTATAAATGTCCGAAATGTGACAAAACTTTTGTGGAATCGAGTCATTTGAAAACACATTTGAATATCCATGCGGGTGAACGTCCTTATAAATGTGTTATATGCAGTCGAGCATTCACACAGTCTAGTAATTTAAATAAACATATGAAAATTCATACAGGTGACAAACTTAATAAGTGTACGATATGTGGTAAAGGATTTACAAGGGCTTATACTTTGAAAGTGCATATGATCACCCATACAAAAAAAACCCTGTTAAGTGCGAGGTGTGTAAGAAGGCTTTTGTGAGAGCCGATGGATTGAAGAAACATATGAGTGTATGTGGAAAATGAATAAATGAAGTTGTGATGCAACATTTGTATTTAATATATTATAATAGTTAGAAATTGTATTAATAAAATTGTGTAAAATATTTATAAATTAGTGGTGTATGGCATCAAGCCTTAAGGCAAATTGCTGGAACTTTCAGTACTGTAACAAAATGTTCGAGGAATATTAAATGCTTTCAAATAGATTATTATAAATATTGTAACATTGTCTAATATTTATAAAAATTATATAAACTGAATTGCAAAGTTGAAATTATTTGTTTAAAGTATATTAGAACTTAAGTCACAATTACAATTAAAATCAGAATTATTTTCGATATGCAAAAAAATAAATAAATAATTTTTTTTTCCAAAAGCAATTGTTTTGTTAACACAAGGAAAAAGTTTTTTAAATCATTCAAATCGTATGCTTAGTTCTCTCAAAAACTGCCATTTTATGCACTTTTAGCTCGATATCTCGAAAACGGCTGGATTTGCCTTTGCCAAAAACTAATCACCACTTCTCCCCATCATTACAAATTGAATGTTTTTTGAATCAATCAAATCGGATGCTCCGTTCTCTCAAAAACTCGATTTCTATTTTTTACATTCTTTGCTCCGTAGCTCCGAAACCGCTGGACATGCCTTTGCCAAAAACTAATCAGCATATCTCTCTATCAATAGAAATCGAATGGTTTTGGAACCATTCAACGCCTGACTCCGCAGCAATCACAAGGTTTTTGACAGTATTTAGTACGATTTTGTATGAAAACTGTTACATAACATAGCCTTGCCATAAATTGGTCCATTCTACGACAGAACCTTAAAGATCTACACATAGATAAAAAAGAATATATGGATCTACACCAAGGCTTCTTAAACTTTTGTCATTCGTTTATGATTGCGGGTTTGTTGACCAACACAAATATAAAAGAAAAACTAGTGGGGTGCATATGGCATCCGTGCCTTAAGGCAAATTGCTGGAACTTCCCCGTACCGTAATTAAAAATCTTGGTACGGAACCCAAGAAAATTTAAACAAAACGTGTACACATTATGAAAATCTCTATAATTGATCTGTGCATATGTCAAATGAATATTTTTGACCGCCAAAAGGCATTGTTTTAACTTATTTTTATTGAGAAGTCATAACCGCTAGACTTACCTTCCAAAAAATTTAATCAGTTTTTTATATCTTGTAAATACAAGTAAAATGTTTTTTGAATTATTAAAATCGGACGCTCCGTTCTCTTTAAAACTGAGTTACCGTTTTTGGCACTTTTTGCCCCGTACATTCGGAACGGCTAGACCTGCCTTCGCCAAAAACTAATCAGCACGTTTTCTTATCAATACGAATCGAATGTTTTTTGAATTATTCAAATCGGTTGATCCGTGTTCCCGAAATCGTCGACAAAAATTTGTATCCGCACGCACACACACACACACACATACATCCATTTTTTCTAAGGTATGCCAAAATGTTCAGAAACCTTTGAAACGTAAAGATATATAAAATTTTTTATTTTCGATTTTTTTGCGATCAATATAACTTGCCCTACGGGAAGTTAATAAATTAATATTTATTTATTTAATAAATTAATATTTTTAGAAAATTTATTTTTTAAGTAACAATATACATATTCATATATACATATGAAAATAAATAGTTGTAGTATTCGTTGTAAAACATAAAAATCTGGACCTAATACTCTTTTTTATCTATGATCTAGACCAGTGATTCGCAAACTTATTTCACCTACCGCCCCCTTTCCAGAAAAAATGTTACTCAGCGCCCCCCTTACAAACTTTCCGAAGGAGAACATTGTTTTCATCAAAAAATCCGAAACCAACAATTGGACAGCAGTATGTGTGTGTGTGTTTAGATTTTTTGCCATAATCGTCCTTTTCTCAAAAATGGCTGGACCGATTTCAAAAATTTAAAAGCCATTCGATGTATCTCGATGAGAACTAACGTTTCGAGCCGTTTCTTTGTAAAACGCAGAAAAGTGAAAAAAAATTCGTCGACGTTTTAGTCCGTAATTCTAAATCGATTTTGAAAATTCAAAAACTGTTCGAAACATACTGGTTGGGTATCGACTTGGACTTGACTAGTTTTTTGTAATGATCGGCCGCGCCGTTTTCTTGTAATAAAGTGTTTTTATTAATATAAGTAGAAGTAATTTTTTAGACAATTTTTATGTTTTTTTTTTGACGGAAGATACCACAGTCTTATAGATCATACTAAAATATTACGGTCCTACAACAAGTCGTTAAATTTTGAATATTCGTCAAAGTTTACAAAAATTGGTATAGTTTTTGTGGCGTTTGTCAAAATTAGAACTTTCAACGATGTTTGCTTAAAAACGCATAAACGGATTTTAAAAATTTAGAAGCCAATCGATGTATTTCGATTATAATTTTAATGTGAGGGAAAAGGAATGACGGGGGGTGCGCTCGTATCTACGGTAAATTTGTTCGCAAAAAGTAATAAAGGGAGTCGCGTTAAAATGCAAGCAATATTTGATTTAGACTCGGAAATTAATACAATATCAAAAACGCTATTCCAAAAATTACGCTTTAAGTCCCAATGCACGAGCCTTAAGCTCCACGGTGTTGTTGGAATTTCAACGAAATCGAATAATTTTACAAATTTAGAAATATTCAATGAAGATGGTACATTTGCAAAAAATATAAATGCCTTTGTGCTTACGAAAATAATAAACAAATCTTCCTAATGGATTAAAACTTTTGGATTCACACTTAAATATTCCGTGCGAAGTAGATATGTTGATAGGTGTTGATACGTTTTCTGAAACTTTAGGTAACGAAAGAATTATACTAGGCCCCGATAAATCTATTTTACAAAACGCGGCATTCGAGTGGACAGTTACGGGTAGATATCAAAGAAATATAATTAATAGCACGACAAATAGTGATCTTATATCCGCCAATCTTACAGAATATCTTATAAAAAATCTCTTAAAGAATCTCTTACAAAATTTGGTAAAGTTACACGCTTTTGAAAAGTTACACAAATTATCGACACAGAAAGAAACGTATGAACCATTCTTTTCATTAAACCTTTTGCGAAACAAGAATTGGCGGTGCACAGTTTTAAAACGGATGTATTTACTAATACACCTATGCACTATTTAGGGTCGCGACCCATAGTTTAAGAAGCCGTGATCAACGCATATCGAAAAGATCATGCAACTTGCCTTGAGGCAAAAAATCACTTACATCTTTATTTAAAGTTTAAAGTTGACTTTAAATTAGTTATAATTACTAATATAAGATGCATTTTAAAATATTTAACAGTAACAAATTAAATATAATCGATTTTTGTTCGATTTTATCGTTGACAGATGTTATTTCATCCATAACTGCAAACTGCTGCAACTTCAGACACGTGGCAAACGTCAAACGTCAAAATATTTTCATTTTTATTAATGAAAGTCATAATTTTATATTTATATTTATAATAATTAGTATTGGCAAAATAAATAAATAAAAAGTTATTTGTATAAATAATTTTTGTCAGATGGTAATTAAAATTGAGCAAAGAAGTAGAAGAAATTCAAGAAAAAGATATTACTTTCAAGAACTACTTCTATAGTAAAAGTTGTAATTTAATGTTTATATTCATATTAATTTTGTAAATAGTTAAAGCACAAATGATTTGTGTCTTACAATATGAAGATGTTAACTATTAAAACATAATTGATTTATAAATATAAATAATTATTGAGTGCTTTGTAATTTTTACAAATATTTTCACAAAAAAGATGGACGTGTTACTAGAGAAACCAATTAAAACTGAGCCCCTTGAATATTCCATAGAAGAAATTGAAGATGACGAAATTTCTGTCAAACAAGAACTAAATGATAATGATGAAACATTTCCCGAACAATCTACACAACCTGCATCCACAATCAAACAAGAACCAACCGAGAATCATTTACCAAAACCTTTTACATGTGACATTTGTCACAAAGTATTCGCAAAACTAAAAAACCTCAAAATCCACGAAGTCATTCACAGTGGTCTCAAAAATTTCAAATGCACAATCTGCGACAAAGCATTTTCCCAATCTGCAAACCTAACAGTCCACCTCAGGATCCACAGAGGCGACAAGCGTTTATGTATGCAAAACCTGCAACCAAAGGCTTCACCCTCCGAGCAACCTTAAAAAAACACACCTGGTTCACACCGGAGAACGTCCTTCAAATGTGGTTTATGTGAGAAGGCTTTCATAGACAACTCGACTTTAAGGAAACATGTCCGTATCCATTCAGGAGATCGTCCTTATAAATGTGATATTTGCGGCAAGGCCTTTACTCAAAATGTGACTTTGAGGATGCATTTGCGTACTCATAGCGCTCCTTCGAAATGTGATATTTGTAATGAGACTTTTAGTGATTTCGATGTTTATAAAGGACACATGGATACACATGCTGAAAAGTATCCCCTAAATGGTGTGTGCTTTAAAGTGTATATGCGGAGTGA